GCTTCCTGTATGGCCAGCTTCCCGGCTAGTCATTATATGTGACGAGGGAGCATGGAACCGGCTTCCCGGCCAATCAGGAATCCGAGCAGCGTGTAATGACTCGCTAGGCATCGGAGCATTTGGACGAGTACTTGGCCACATACTCTGCATCCGCACCGATACTGGTGTCGGTGCATCACTAATATTAAACTTATTAAAGTTACTTGTTTTTTAGACACTAGTGATTATCATTTCAAAACCACACAAGTCTAACAATATATGTGAAGTCAATAAAAAAAATTCAATTACTTCAAGGGGCTTGGTTTTCGTTCTCAGGTCAGAAGTCTATTATTATCTTAGTGCTGAGGTTGGGTAGCGACACCTGGGTTTTTCAGAGTACTCTAGTGTGTTGGTCAGTTTGGCGTTTGTCGTAGTGAACAGTGCGAGTTTTATCTTACCGCATAACCATTAACTGCTGCAATGACTGGTTTCTTTACAGTGGACACATGATTCCAGTGCGACAGGAAGCCTCCTCCATAACATTCTTGGAAGGTTCTATTTTGCATCTCTTTAATGTCTGCCCCAGCTGCCAGGAATGAACAATCATTCATTTTAGAAATTGTTAGCACAATAACTTAAAACTTAAAGTAGAACTACAGTCAATCTAAAAAAACAACAACAACAAAAATCACACCCGAGGCAGGCTGTCCACCCCAGTCAGACTGGGCCGTCTTTTCTTTAAGTACCCCTGGGATCGTTTTTTAAATACCACTAGGCACTTTCTTTGATTGGGTTATGACTCTCTTCCTTCTGCAACAAATCACTGCATTGTTGACACCCTTCTGCAGTAGCATCTTAAATGTAGGGCCGTATAAATGTTGGTGTTGTTCAAAGCACTATCAGTTAATAGCTACTCCAACGTCTCATACCCCTACCCATTCCTATAGATCAGCGGTAGGCAACCTTGGTACTCCAGCTGTTGAGGAACCCATGAGGCATTGTTAGACTCTGACCGGTATGACTGCCAGGGCTGAAGCACCGAGGTTGCTTACCCCTGCTAGAGATTTACAGCACATTGCCCTATATGCAGAGGCTTAGAGAAATGGTGTGGTGACACTATTGACCTTATATGGCCACATGGCCATATTAGGTCAATCTCATGGCCATATTAGGTCAATGTCATGGCCATGTGGTCATATAAGGTCAATGTCCTGTTTGCAGTTAATTGGGCCGCCACTCCGAGATTTCCTCCAGGTTCAGTCCAAGCCAGCTTTCATCCCTAGCTACAAGTCTGAGAAGAAAATGCTGACTGAATTTTCAATGATCAAAACCATCCTAGTACTCATTCAAGAAGCATCGATCTGTGCTGTATTTACACACAAAACCCTAACTTGACTTCTTCAACTTAAGATCTAAAGCCCAACTTAAGCCAACACTTTTAATGGTGTTTTGGATGGAGCAGTCAAGGGTTGGAACATCTGCAGGGTTTTTATTTCTGTGTGCACCTTTCTGCAAAGGTGACCCCCATTTCTTGCATTTCTTATCCTGGGGTCATAAGGGTGTCACTAAAAAACCCGGGGGCGTATAAACTATGACTGGCGGTTGTAGAGGAATGCAACATCTCACGCATCACATTGCATTACAATTAGAGTATTATGCCGCAGTTCATATAGAAACCATGACCTTGACTGTTTTGTGCCATCATTAAGTTGGTATGATACTGCACCCCTCCATTATGCCAAAATACTGAAACTCATTTTCTGAAAAATTAATAATGTGACGCAGATTGTGAGACATATTGCACTTTGGCATTTTTCAACATTTAAAAGCACTTGCGGCATCTTCCTGTTCAACTTGAATATTTTGGTGCATTCCATAAATCAGTGGTCTGTGTGCCATATATTCTGTGCACCATCAATATTTTATCAAACCCAGTGACACCCCTTAGTGGAGTAGGAGGCAGCAATGAAAACCTACTAGGAGCTCTAACTCTTCCTCATTCCATTTAAAATTGATTACAATCAATTCTGGATGGAGATGGACTTTAATATTAAGTGACATTTTATGCTACCATACTTGCTGCATGTTGTCGGTACACACATATGACAATTTAAAGAAGAACTTCGGGCATTTAAAAAATTTACCCTTGCAGTGGCTGCTCATTTTGGTCTAGGGTCTAAAATAAAGAAGATACACTCATCTGATCAAACATTGCTGCTGTGAACCATAACTAACCAGCAAAGGCTTTCTCACTGCCGGTGATAACAACTGCTCCAATCTGAGGGTCCCCTTCAAAGGAGTCTAGAGCCTGGTTAATCTCGGTCATCAGTCCATCACACAAAGCATTGAGGGCTTTGGGGCGATTCAGCTGTATAAAACCCACATTCTCATTCTTCCCTTTGCGCTCCACCAAAATATACTGATATGATGGGCCTGCTAGAATAAAGAAAAAAAGTGGTCACTGATTAAATACAGTATCACACCCGTTATGCTTTCAGAGTTAAAAGAGACTTGGGGGTCTATTTATAAACAATTCACAGAGACATTTGCCCTGTGAATCTCTGTGAACGTTGTTCTGTGCACATTGCTCCTCAGCTCCATCTAATGGCCATAATGCGGTATTAGAGAACGATACATTCAACCTGCAAAGAAAATATACTAAGAACATTTGATTTTGCCTCTATTCGCACAGAATGAACATTCACAGGGATTTGCAGGGTGAATAGCTCTATTGTTTATAAATAGACCCCACCCCATAGTATTTAAAAGCACTATGAGGCGAGTGAAAATCACTCAGCCTCATAGTTCGATCCGACCTGTGACAATGAAACTTTCACACGTCGGCTCAATAGATCGGAAAGTGAGCGAACACATACCGTCGCTCGCTCACTTCTCAATCCTGTGCCTGCAGAGAGCCGCGACTGTCACTCACGGCTCCCTGCAGGGATTCCCCCCCTCTTCTGTCCGATCCTCCAGCGCTGAGTGGTGGAATGGACGGGGAGGGGGCGGTTACAGCTGGCTCTGCCTCTAGATAGGCAGAGCCAGCTCTCACTCACGCAGCTGAGTGGATCCAGACAGTATTGTTGGGATCCGTCACGGCTGCGCGGTCTCAGTATACCGCGAGCTGTAGCTCGCGGTATACTGAGCTTTGGGTGATGCTAGTTTGTGTCCTCCCGTTACCCTTAGGAGAACTATGGGGAAAAGCACTGACCCCATAGTTCTCCTTTAAATGCTGTATAACTCTAGTCCTCTAAAGGTTGAAATCCAGCAACAGGATCTCTTTAAAGGCCATCGTTTTCACACAATTTTAAGATTATTCCTATTAATCTAATGCAAAGACATAAAGTGACCCAAGTCATTATTCTTGCGATCCAATCTATCTATCTATCTATCATCCCACCTGTGCACAGAGCCCTGATATGCCCCATTGATACACATTTGAGTGTAATGTTGTACAGTTTCTTTGTCTTTGTAAATGGGAAATCCACTGTAAGCCTATCCATTAAGCCTGGTCTGCCCCAACTTCAAGTGGAAGTCCAGTCACATGTTTGAAGACACACAGGACTAGACCAGTCATTTCCCAATCATTTACAATAATATATTTATCACTACTGTAAGTGTTCTTTAAACAGAAAAGCCAGAGCATTCATTTCAACAACAATCTTCCCATAAGATTGTTTGTGCATTCAATATATTTTATGTATGTTATTTACCTGTAAAAGCCTCCCTTGTGTACTGAGCTCTGTGCCGCCATCTTGGATGTGATGTCAGTAGTCCTAGCAGACTCAAGTGACACTCTATAGCAGGGGTCGGCAACTCCCGGCACGCGTGCCCTGCCTGGCACGCGAGGTCTTGGCATCTGGCACGCGCTCTCTTTCTTTAGTTTACATGTAATTGACAGCTCCCTCAAGCTGGCTGTCAATTACATGCCTGGTCCACCCACCTTCCGTAAGTGGTGAATGTTATAGGAGCGCAATGGCGCGCTGAGGATGCCTTCAAATCGGTCTACCCCAGCTCCTGCCTAGAAAGAAAGCTCATCTGCCGGCCCGTCGGACATGAACGGGCTTTCTCACTCACCATGCGGATTTCACCGCCGATTACGCTGGCTGAGAGTACAAAAAAGTAAAAGGTGCTGGAGGATGGCCAGAAATATTGCTGTGAGTGCCACATGCATACCGTTTACCTGCACAAATCTTAGTCCTCATACCTGCACACATGCAGACCCTCACAAATGCACAGCATGATCAACAGCCACAAATAGCTTTGCTTTTAATTCTGCACTAATCTGTAGGATAAGAATAAAATCAATGCTATTTGTGATGATACTGCTCTGCATTTGTGAGGGTCTGAGTGTGTGCCTAATATGTCTTGATCCATGTAGTTAGGGAAGACTGCCTCTACAATAGTTTTTTTTTTTTTTCTTTCAAGCATGACAAATTGCAAATGTATCAATCATACAGTGTTTTTAGCTAATATGCAGACTGAAGTGTGTAAATTGGAGCTGGTCTGCAGGAAATTAGTGGTACTCTGAGGTCTGCCATGTGTTAGAGGTGGTCTGAGGTCTGCAATTTGGTGGTGGTTTGAGGTCTCCCATGCGTTGGTTGTCTGAGGTCTGCAATTTTGTGGTGGTTTGAGGTCTACCATGTATTGGTGCTAGTCTGAGGTCTACCATGTATGGGTGCTGGTCTGAGGATCGCCGTGTAATAGTGCTGATCTGAGGTCTGCCATGCAATGCGTGTATTGGTGCTGATCTGAGGTCTGCCATGCAATGCGTGTATTGGTGCTGATCTGAGGTCTGCCATGCAATGCGTGTATTGGTGCTGATCTGAGGTCTGCCATGCAATGCGTGTATTGGTGCTGATCTGAGGCCTACCGTACATTGCTGCTAGTCTGACATCAGCTGAAAGTAACATCCTACAGGCCAGACATAGCACAACTGAGCCATGGAATACAGGCACAGGGATCACACTTTTTAGCATAAACATAACATGTTTTGTGTGTGCATTCCTTTTTTTGTCACTTATAGTTGTGCTGCTAATAACAAAGTAAACACATTACCATTATTAGTCAGTTTAACTTACTATTAGCAGTACAGCTATGAGTGTAAAATGTGATATTTAACTAATACTATGGTGCGCTATTGTTCATTGGCACCCAGTTGTCTGATGGTTGCAAAAATGGCACTCGGGGTGTAAAAGGTTGCTGACCCCTGCTCTATAGCATTCTTTTTCACTCCTCCCCTGGCAGCTACATAACAGGTTATGTAGGGAGGTGAGGGGCAGAGGAGCTGGGCTGGGCCAGCAGACAGTGATCAGACATTCCAAGAAGAGGAGAGGGCTAGGACATGGCAGAAGGGAGGCGGCTGTGCTAGGGAATGACCTAATCAAATATGATAGCAAGTTCAGCACCACATAATGCAATAGAAAATCATTTTGGAAAAGTAAAACACTGCAACTTAGCATTTAATACTGGATAATTCTGTGCTTTTACCTGCAATATGTTAAGTTGGTGACAGGGTCTCTTTAAGATCTTACAAAAGGGGTCATTCCCTGTCACGTGACATGGAACACACCTATGACATTGACCCTAGCAGTCTCCATTACCAGTCTACCAGGGGCCCCTTCATAACAAAATAAGGTATAAGCAGTTTAACTGCTAATAGAAAGGAATAGAATTCATCACCTTTGAAAAAAACATGACACCATCCATTACAATTGTTCGAAATTCAAACTTGAACTCCAGTGTGAAACTTTGCATCTGTGCAGGAGCTTCCTGTAATAGAGACCAGTGAATTCTGCTCTGTCTCCTTGTGCAGATGACTGGTCTTATCTCCACCCCCTCTTGTAGTTTTTTGAAGGAAGCCTGTAGGGGATGGGGTCTGCTGGGCCCCTCCCACAGCTCAGCACAGGCTATGTACAGCACATTGGTGATGTCACCACTACTTTTATAAGGGAATATCTGGCTCTGCAAAGGCATTTGGTGCACACAAAGTGGATTTATATCCTTTGTGAATATTGCAGAATGTGTTTAAAGTTTTTGTGCCTGAAGTTTAACTTTAAACTATGTATTATTTATAACTAGGTTGTTTTCTTATATCCTTGCCAGTTCACGTCTATCCGCATGGTAGTTTAACCAGAATCACGTATATGGAAGAGATTGTGATATTTATAGGGTAATGTGCCACCATCAGTCTGGTGTGTTCAGCGTGAGAATAAAAAAAGAATTTATTGAGTCCTGTTTAGAAATATTTTGTAAATATATTATAAATAACACAAATCAGATCTACAGGTTATACATATGTGCTAAAATCTTCATCTGTTGCTGCAGTATTGACATTCAGACATGGTGGCCTCTTTGGTCTTTTTTGCACATATTACTGCATGCTCGAATACACGTTTTTGCCATTTCAAAGCTTCTTACTTGGAGAAGCAGAACATTAGGCGCAAAAAAAACCCCTGAAGTCTATTGGGGCCAAAGAAGCTCCTGTACTTTGCTGAGCGATTGCAGATCGCTCATATGTGAACGGCCATAACAGAATAACATGGAAATCTAATTGTCTGAAGTGTACCTGGAAAATTGTTACACAATGGGTTGTAAAAGGCAGAAGCGCATCGAAGTCCCAGGTTACACTCACACCACTGAGAGCCAGGCTTAGTACATTAGACTTTTATATGTTATTCTGCATACAGCCATGTTGTTGATAGGTATCATACAACTGTGCTAAGCTCACTACACGCGTTACAATCCGATTGTGCAATTACCTTTAGACCCTTGGTTCTCAAATGGTGGGTGTTCAGTGGGTCTCAGCGTGCCTTCCACTTTTCTAGCTCAGAGGTTCCTCAGCCTCCCCCTAGCGCAGCACTGTCAGTTCTCTTGCCAAGCGGCCATTCAAAATATGCTGCCCGGTGCAGAGTGCCAGCTTGTGATGGGGCTATGGCCGCGAGGGAGCTCCATCCTTACATGCAGTGCATACATCTCCCTCAGTGTCCTGTAGAGGTGCGTAGACTGGAGTGACATCACATTCTGGCTCCAGGCACCTCTTCATGGCGCGCAAGGGTGCTGTACAAGCAAAGTACATATGGATGGAGTTTCGTCACAGCACAGCAGCCCACCCTGGACCCCAGGCTGAGGATCCACTCCAGTTGTCGTAAGGTAGGGAGACTGGGTAGATCTTAAAAACATTTTTTTGTGTGTGTGAGAATGTGTCTGTTGTTGTGTATGCATGTCAGTGTTTTTGAGGGCCCATTCACACTAGTACAATGCGATTAACGCACTGTACCACACAATCGCACCCACTGCGCATTCTGGTGTGGGAGGTGTGTTGCGTTGCGATTCATTTGAATGGTACCCCAAACACACCTTCCACCCAGTTTGTACGCCAGCACCAAAATGCGCAGTACCCTAATGCCGTCCGTTCCACTGCACTGCGACTTGGGACATGACTTAAAGGAGCACTATGAGATAAGTGATTTTCACTTATTCTCATAGGTAGAGCCGATGTGTGACCATGAAATGGTCACACATCGGCTCTATTAATCTGGAAGGGAGCGAACACATACATATGTATTGGGAGCGAACAATACATATTCTATTCTATGGTTACCCCATAGCATTATGGTTACCCCCATAATTCTATTTTAATTACCAAAGACAAAGGTCACTGACAGTTTTCGCAGGCTTAAAGGAGAACTATGGGGTTAAGACTTTTCCCCATAGTTCACCCTGTAGCTCGCGGTATACTGAGCCACCGCAGCTGAAGCGGATCCCGACAATTGTGCAGGGATCCGCCCAGCTGTGTGAATGACAGCTGGCTCTGCCTATCTAGAGGCAGCCAGCTGTACCCGCCCCCTCCCCGTCTGTCCCGCCAGTCAGCGCTGGCGGATCAGAGCGGGGAGGGGGGAATCCAGCCCCTCCCCTGTCACGGCAGAGAGCCGTGACAGGATCGAGAGGTGAGCGAACGCAGGTATGTGTTCGCTCACCTCCCGATCTACTGAGCCGACCTGTGACAGTCTCATTGTCACAGGTCGGCTAGAACTATGAGGTGAGTGAAAAGCACTCACCTCATAGTTCTCCTTTAAGTGAACTTGGTTTTCACTAATCCCATGCACATCCGATATTATGATCAGATTGTAACATGTATGGTGAGCCTTAGAGAAATAATAAAAGTACCAACTACCTGTACATATATACAGCATAGGAGGATTTCACTCTATCTGATGATCCACAGTCAAGGCACAGAGCATATGCGAGTCAAGGCACACAGCACAGCGCAGATTTACTAATGATCCCTCCTGCAATCATTGTCCATACAGTCCCAGCCTAGCACAGCCCCGCATTCAAACTGAATACACCGCCGTTATATATTTCTATCCCATCCACACAATATACCAGCGCTGTAGCCCCGAAAGAGCCCATGGCGGATCTGAAACACAGGTGACAGTCGCGTTATCCCTCTACACAACGCAGCCATGTTTCCCTCGTCACGCATGCGCAGAAGCAGCGCCCTTGTAATTCCCGGCTCCTCCAGCAAGGACGGGCCAACGGCGCATGCGCATAGTGTGCTCAAAGTCTCAGTGTTTATTACATAGTTTTGACATGATAAATGCTGTTTTTATATTTCTGTGGTTGGACGAAGGGAAAAAAATGCTAATCTATAAGAAAAAGTGATTTTAAAGAATAAGAGCTATTTCTAAGTCATCACATTATAGTGGTGTGTTAAAGGTGTGTTGTGTTATGTTTAATTCTGAATGGCACGCTATGGCGGTAGTGCAGTAGCATGTGTTGTGTTGTCATGCACGGAACATAACTAATACATGTGCTATTTTTTCATAGTACCGCAACGCTCGCTATTGTTAGATTGTGAGCCCTCACGGGCAGGGCCCTCCTTACTATCTTGTCTTGAATAGTATTGTAATTGTAATGATTGTAATGTTGTAAACGCTGCACAAACTGTTGGCCAGTGGCGTCACAAGGGGGGTGCGGCCCGCACCCAGGTGACACCATTGGAGGGGTAACACTAAAATGACTGACAGTCATTTTGGTGTCACCACCCTTTGAAAAGTCGGAGCGCTCGGTCATGGACCGAACGCCCGACAGTATCAGGAGAGAGAGAAGGGGACCTGGTGGCATACCTTATCCCGCCAGGTGACTGTCCTCTCCTCTCTCTGCCGGCGTCCATCACCAAGATGGCCGCCGGCAGGTATCAGAAGATTGCCGCGCGTGCGCAATGACGTCTTGGCGAGTCAGCGGGGTGACACCCGATAACCGCTCCGGTTGTCACCCAGCCTCGGGACGCCCCTGCTGTTGGCGCTATATAAATCCTACATAATAATTGTGGTACCGTGTTTTGCAGCACATACATTATATCAGAAACTCCACATCAAAGTGCTGAAATCACATCAGAGTCCTCAGTCCCCACTTCACACCAGAGCCCCCTCTCACACTAGGAGCCCCCTTCACATCTGTAATCACCCCTTACCTCAGAGTCCCCCTTCACATCAGATTCCACCCTTCACCTCAGAGTCCCCCTTCACATCAGATTCCACCCTTCACATCAGAGCCCCCTTCACATCACATTCCACCCTTCACTTCAGTGCTCACCCTTCACCTCAGATTCCACCCTTCACATCAGAGGCCCTCTTTACATCAGATTCTACCCTTCACCTCAGAGCCCCCCTTCACCTCAGATTCCACCCTTCACCTCAGAGCCCCCCTTTACATCAGATTCCACCCTTCACCTCAGAGCCCCCCTTTACATCAGATTCCACCCTTCACAGCAGATTGCACCCTTCACACCAGAGCTTCCCCTTCACATCAGACTCCCCTCCCATAACATCAGAGCCCCCCTTCACATCAGAACCCTCCTGTACATCAGAGACCCCTTCACATGCGGCTGCATGGCAGAGGGTAGGAGGCAGCTTAGATAGAGGTGGACTTCTGTCCTTTTCTGCATGAAAGGAGAAGCAACACACTAACGAGCTCATCACTTTATCAGTTTGGGGGGAATTCATCAAAACTGGAGCAGACAAAATCTGGAGCAGTTGTGCATGGTAACTAATCAGCTTCTCTCTTCAGTTTGGTCAGTTAAGATTAGAAAATCTTAACTGACCAAACTGAAGATTCTTCTGTGGTTCTTCTGCCACATTTTTTTCATTCCACCATAGTGTAAGCAGGCACAAATAGCTTATGTGAAAGACAGAAGCTAATTGGTTGACATGCACAGCTGCTCCAGATTTTGTCTGCTCAAGTTTTGATATATTCTCCTCTTTGTCTCCTCCTATCAGCATGCTCTTTGGCAGCATATGAGTTGATTGGCTTCTTGCACTGCTTCTCCTTTTCCCAATCTGGGCTTTGCTGTACATGGGTACAAGTGGCTGATACCAGATCAGATTCATATATTTTGCATTTGCATTAAAAGAAAATACATTTATTGACCTAGTTTGGCTAAGTCATGCAAGAGAGTGTCTGGAGGGGTCCTAGCAAGGAAAGATCTGACTGAGACAACAAGGCCAGATGCATTCCATTGCCTATCCCAACACATATTTGTACCCGGGTGCAATGCTAGTTTGCTATTGGCTGTTGCAAATTGAAATAGCCTATAGGAATCAAGCAATGCATTCCTATGGCCCCCCCCAAAAAAAATGTTCTATTCTGACACGGCTTGAGCGGTACAGGCTATAGTGAATAGCCCGTACAGCAGCCTTTCAGTTCTACTGAACCGAAGGGGTCCTGTAGAAATATGAAACAGCAAGGCAACAATGGAGAAAACAACCAGGAAAAATTATCTTGTAGTGGAAATATACAGCAACATGTGCAGGATGAGACTAGGATAGTTGTGTATATGCTAATAAGGCACTAATATCAATACAATAGAAGGGAAGGGAAAAGGAAAAATGTGGAGGAAGTTGGCGTACAGTGTCCTTGAAAGGGAAAAGCAAATGCTATATAACAAGAAGAGGTACGATGAAAGAGTTGTGAAAAACAGAGAAGGCGGGGAGGGGCAGAATGAAGGGAGTCTAGGAAAATGGTGAAAAAGTGAGGAAACAAGAAGGTAAGAGAGGAGAGAGAAAGGAGGAGAGCAGCTGCCTTGAAAAGGTGAAGAGCGGTTATCACGTGAGAGTTAGAGTTATGTGGTCCAGTTCAGGGAGAGCAATGGAAAACTATGGTGTCCAGACCTTTTTGAAATTTTTTGTAGGCGTCTGTGAGAATACTAGAAAGGTGTTCATTCACAAAAAACCCTGCGTGCACTGCTGAAATTCATTATAAGGAATGCAGTGTTTCATCCAGGAGTGGGCTATAGTTTGTTTAGCAGCTAACAAAACAAAGTCCACCAATGTTCACTGAGAGCGAGTTAGGGGCTCTATTTCAAAGTGGAGTAGGGTATGTCAGGGGTCCCTGCGAATGGGTGTATGTACTAACGAGGATATAAGCTTATATATTCTTGTCCAGAAGCAAACTACAAAGGGACACGACCACCAGATGTGCATGATGTCACCCGATGTACTGCAACCTCTAAAACAGTGATTACGTTAGGTAGGCTGCAAATGAGTATTCCTACTGGGGACTAAATACCATCTCATAAGTTCTTTATAGGCCGACTCTTGTGTCGTCATGTTGCGGGAGCATTCTGAAATAGCAGCCCAAATGTTGGACCATTCTTCAATAGGTCTAGTATGGTGTAAATCTCTATGCCATGTCTCAACATAGCTTTGGATAGCGGGGGAAGAAAGTGAATTTAATTGCGAGTATAGCATAGAAATGAGGTGGGGAGAGCCTTTGATGCATTTATGTTCAAAGAATGCGAGGGGCACAAAGATGTCCCATCCCAAATTCAAAGACTTAACCCAATGTCTAATCTGGATATATTCTAAAAAAACTCAATTGAAGGAGAGTGAGATTTAGAAACTATAGAATCCCAAGTCTAAAGTCACATAGGGAATGTTAAGCGGTGGTGTAGCCTTGAGTTGACCGCCAGCTAAAGGCGAAAGGACTATCAAAAGCGGGAGGGATCATAGGATTTCCCAGAAGTGTAGTAAGAGGAAGTTATGAAGATATTAGGCAACCAGAGAATTTGACCGAGTCCCAGATTCTAAAAGAGTGAAGAAGGACAGGGCTAAGTGTGGTAGTTTCTTAGGGAGCCATAATACCTGCTATCCTACCTGTCATACTCTTCTGCACATAATACCTGCTCTCCTAGCTATCACACTCTTCTCCTGCGCATAACACCTGCTCTCCTACCTTCCACAATTGTTTTCTATTGCATGCACATACGTCCCCTTGTCATACCCTCCACACTCCTCTCCTGTACATAATACCTGCTCTCCTACCTTCCACAACTTTTTCCTACTCCTGCACATACTGCCCCTTGTCATATCCTCGGCATTCCTCTCCTGTACATAATACCTGCTCTCCTACCTTCCACAACTTTTTCCTACTCCTGCACATACTGCCCCTTGTCATATCCTCGGCATTCCTCTCCTGTACATAATACCTGCTCTCCTACCTTCCACAACTTTTTCCTACTCCTGCACATACTGCCCCTTGTCATATCCTCGGCATTCCTCTCCTGTACATATTACCTGCTCTCCTACCTTCCACAACTCATTTTACTCCTGCACATACTACCACTTGTCATAACCTCCACACTACTCTCCTGCACATAATACCTGCTCTCCTACCTACCACACTCTTCTCCTGCACATAATACCTGCTCTTCTACCTATCACACTTTTCTCCTGCACATAATACCTGCTCTCCTACCTATCACACTCCTCTCCTGCACATAATACCTGCTCTCCTACCTTCCACACTCTTCTCCTGCAAATAATACCTGCTCTCCGACCTATCACACTCTTCTCCTGCACATAATACCTGCTCTCCTACCTTCCACACTCTTCTCCTGCAAATAATACCTGCTCTCCGACCTATCACACTCTTCTCCTGCAAATAATACCTGCTCTCCGACCTATCACACTTTTCTCCTGCACATAATACCTGCTCTCCGACCTATCACACTTTTCTCCTGCGCATAATACCTGCTCTCCTACCTTCCACAATTCTTTCCTATTCCTGCACATACTGCCCATTGTCATACGCTCTGCACTCCTCTCCTGCACACAGTGCCAGCTGCCATACCCTTTGCACTCCTCCCCTACATCTACTACCCACTTTTATACCCTCCACACTCCTCTCATGCACATACTGCCAGCTGCCATAGCCTCTGCACTACTCTCCTGCACATACTACCCACTGTCATACCCTCTGCAGTTCTCTCCTGTACACACTGCTTGCTGCCATATCCTCCACTCTTCTTCTGCACATACTGCATGCTATCCAACCCTCCACCCTCTTCTTCTACATATACTATCCATTGTCATGCCCTCCACACTCCTCTCCTGCACATACTGCCTGCTCTCATACCATCCACACTCCTGTCAATGAAATTGTTTTCTTATCCACGTTTGGTCTTTAAAATCATAACAAGGTCTTTCCTACAGCAACC